AGGTGCTGTGTGCAGTGTCAGTGTGTGGAGTCAGACCAGGGCTGGGCTGGGGGTGTGGGGCAAGGGGACACGTTGGGGAGGGGGCTCAAAGTGCCATGGTGTTGCTGCTGTCACCATCCATGTGCCCCCTGAGCCCCCAGCACCACCCTGCTTGTCTCAATGCCACCCCCTTCCCTATTGCCCCTACCTGGGGCAGTCCCCTCCCTGCCCACTGCTCCTCACTTCCAGCCACCCCCAACGCCCCAGCCCCAAGCTCCAGTGTCCTGGGGGGGACAGGAGGGGAGGCTGCACATCCTGGACACCCCCAACCAGCTGGGAACAGATCCTGCTCATCCCCCTGCTCCTTTCTCAGGAGCCTCCAGGCAGACCCAAAGCTGTCCCTGCAGGAGCTCACTGGGACGAGGGTTTTCCACAGATTTCTGGGGGCTGTGCAGAGGGTTTTAGGGGCTGCTGAGATCCAGCACCAGCATTCAGAGCTGGCAGCTCTCCTGGGGGAGCAGGGCTGGAGGATTTCCCTTTGGGAGCTCCAAGAGCTCCCAAGGCTCCAGCCAAGAGCTGCTCCAGCCTGTTCTGAACACGACGTGTCGACTCACAGGTCCTGTGTTTAACTCAGCTCCAAACTCCTCATGGGTTTCCTGACACAACCCCTCTGTAGCACCCCACTGACTCCCCAAGAGGACATGAGCTCTGTATGCTGGGACAGTCGTGCTGGAAACACTACCAGACACAGCAGGAGGTGAAAATTTTATGTGAGGAAGGTTTTTCTTGCTCTTCTCCTTTCAGAGGAGCCTTCAGGAGCTGCTGAAACGTCACTCAGGAGATGGAACAGACAATTGAGTACAGCACAAAAGAGTTTTTTTCCTGTTTCATTGTGTTCTGTTGAAAATTAAAAACATTGATTGCAAAACTCATTCCCTCAATCAGTTCTTCCAGACAGAGAAGGACACAAAGTTCCTGATCACCAAAAAAAAAGATACTTGGAGGCTGAGCTTGGCCACATCACGCTGAGCCTGAGGAGCATGGAGACCCCAGGCCCCAGCAAAGGGGCTTCCTTCACCTACCCCTGCTCCAGCCCTCACACATCTCCACCTTATCTCCATTTCACAGCGTTCTCAGGTCCCATTTCTCAGGATGAACACCTCAGCAGACAGACAAGAGCCATCAGGAGCATCAAGGCTGGGTCACAGGGGTGCAGATTTCACCTGGTCACAGGGGAGTGGTCCTGGAGCTGGGCAGGGACCTCAGGGCCCACCCATCACTTGCACAGGAAGAAGAATTTTTTCCTGAGAAAGTTGAAGTTTCCAGGGATCTGCTTGTATGTCCCCTTGGCAGAGACAGCATCTGTCACCTGAGGAGAGAGGAGAGTGCCTGAGGAGCTTTTCCCTCAGGTACTGGGGCACCAGCCCCCAAGGGAAGCAGAGGGATGAGAGCAGGTAACAGGCCTGAGGGGCAGGAGAGCAGGTCTCCTAAAATGGGGCACTCCCACCAACTAAACCAAAGGGGACTTGAGGGAAAGTGGCCTCTAGAGAAACCCCAGCCAGAGCAGCCACCACTGGCTCCTTCCCTTTGGGTGTTCATTTAAAAGCAAACTCCCTTTCCACCCTTTCTCTCCCCAACAGGACTGTCCTGTCCCCAGGGTCACCTCCCTCAGCCACCAGAGAGAGGGTCTCGTGCTACTCCCCCCTGACATCCACAGCTGCTGTGGAGAAGCACCACCAGGCCAGGAAAACACCACAAGGGTCAGTGCTCTCTCCCCTGCTGCTCCACACGAGGCTTCTCTCCTGCCCCTGGAGCACAGGGACAGTCCCTGGAAGTCCCAGCACTGGTTGCCAGCTTTGGCAATCTCAGCCAACAGGGCATGCAAAGGAAACCACTGATTAGCCACAGTGGCTCCACGTTTCCTCTGTGTTGTGCTCCTCACTCAGCAGGACATCTGGCCCTGTCCTCCTGGGGGTGAGGTGCTCCTCAAGACCACCAGGCTTCACAGGAGCTTCAGAGACCCAGCTCAGCCCAAGGGTGTGATGTGGCCACGTGCTTAAAACAGTGCCCCAAGTCCCACCAGCTTGTGTTCTTGAGGGTGGGACGAGCTGTGTTTTGGTCTAAGGCAATTTTTTTAACAATTTCCTTGGAAAATAGTCAAGCCTGTGTTTTCAGGACTATTTCTCATTAGAGAAACCTTGGAGAGATTTCTGGCAGATTTCTTCATCATTTGACCTCTCCACAGGTGAGGTGATCTATAAACTCAACATCCTCATTCCTTTAAGTGCAGGCCTCCAAGCCCTGTCTGGTTGGAGCTCTGATTATCTCCTTCATCCTGACTACAAAAATTAGGGAAAAAACCCCCACGTTTACCTTCAGTAACATGCTCAGCAAGTCTTCAGAGTGGGCACACTGCTCCAGCACACTGTCCAGGGTCTCCACGTACCACGAGCCACTCAGTGGCTTCCTCCAGGACACGTAACCTTCAGAGAAGGAATGACAACCTTACAGCCAAGGCCAGTCCCCTGCCCTCATCCCACTGAGCTACCTCTGCTCCCAGGGTCCCATCCCCCCTGGCTTTGGCTGTGAAGCTCTGGATTTTGTGCTAATTCTCCTGTTCCCAGTGATGTTTTTAGGCTGGCTGGCCCACCTGGGAAGGTTGAGTAGGAGACCAGGATGTCGCTGGGTGTGGGCAAAGAGGCTACAGCGTCTGGCTCGTCCATGCTGCCCCTTGGAGCCTGCAAAGGAGTGGCATCTGACTCCAGAGAACCTCCAGGATCTTCCTCACAGTCCACCAGGAAGCCTCGATCTCTTTGATCTACAAAAAACAGCCACAAGACAGTCCCTGAGGTTCATCTTACCCACGGACTCAACGACGCACATCCTCTGTTCAGAAAAGATGAAAATCCAGGAAGAAGAAAGGCCCTCCAAGGAAATAAAGCTTTGAGGGCCTTTGGTTGTGCTGGTTGAGGGGGAGCTGCTGGTGATTCAAAGCCCTCAGTCCATGATGAATTCCCCACCAACCTCAGAGCTGAAGTCCTGGAGCAGCCAGCCTGGCCGTGTGTTGTATCCCTCCTTCCATCCCACACCTCCCTGCTGTGCAGTGAAATCACTCCAGCACACACAGATCCATGTGTGAGCCCTCAGGCTCAGCTGGTGCTGGCTGCAAGAACGTGTGGCCAAGGGTGAGAGAAGACAGCCAGAAAAACAGGTGACCAACAGGAAGGGCAGAAGAAGCTGAAGTGGAACCACGTCTCTGAAGCCACCTCACACCCAACAGCTGATTTGCTTCGTGAGCCAAACCAAGATTCACCTCCACCACAGGCCTGGATGAAGAAGAGTTTGGGTTTTCCTCTCAGACTCGGGCAATTGGAGCCATTGAAATAGTTCACAATCTTTTCTATGGGAATGGTCTTTCCATCTGTTCCATAAATGGCTCCAGGGAACTGAATGTGGCTCGTCTGCAAGAGGAAAATCCAGGAGCTGGTCAGGTGGGAGGTGAAGCCAGCTCCAGGGGAGCCCAATTCCCATCAGGTGCTTTGTACCCTGAAGTTACCAGCACCAATCTCACTGCCTCACACCACGCCAGGGTGAGGGGACACCCAGGAGCTGTTTGGAACACACCAAACCCCAGCTGCACACGGGGCTCCCTCTTCATCCTCTGGGACAACGGGCACCTTACACTCACCACTTCCCTCACAATCCTCTCCTCATCCTTTGGGGCCTCTGGCTTGTGATAAACAGGCTTTAATACTAATAGCAGCTCCTGGGTCAGAGCTGGAGATGGGGAAGGACCCCAGAACCCCAGGATGAGGGTGGATGCTGCCACCCTGTGCTCTCTGCCCATCACTCAGTTCTGAATTAGACACGCCAAGACAGAGGACACTGGTCCACTCCAGATCAGACCAAACAGGAGAAGCTCCTGGTTTTGTTAACCCAGGTACCAGAGTGTAACTCCTCCCAGGACCATCAGACCAGGGAATTAACCCCTTCCCACCCAGCCAGATGGACAAACCCACCTGGCAGCCGTGGGAGAGGATGACCACGACGCAGCAGTCCAGGGTGCTGTGGTCCTGCCTCGCCAGCTTCTGCAGCTCTGTCACCATCTCCTGCAGGGAAACATCACAGTCAGAGTTCTCCAAAGCACACCTCGGCCACAGGTCACTGCCAGACCCTGCACTTACAGTGTGACAACAGAACCCCACAGTCCCAGCATGGTGGGGGCTGGAAGGGA